GTCCCACACCTCGAGCAGATTTTTGGCAAGATTAACACAAATGAAGACGAAATGGTTGCTGCAATCACAGAATCCTAATTATCGAATAATCTTAATGAAAAAAGAAGCATAAAATTAAAAGCCGAGAACACATACTCGCAGTTGTAGACTAGAAGTATGTGGGTTTTCTTCTTCATCGTGAATTCGTTGAAAACAGTAATCAATCTCTGTTTCAGGTCTTCCACGTCACATTCATAGAGGCCTAGACATGTCCTCTCGTTGACTCGCACGGGGTCCAAGAAGCCTATGTAATCCCATTTGCTTTTTAGAATGCAAAATTTTGCTATACACCTACATAAAATCATGGGAAGTGCTCAAAAGTTAACAATTTGTGTCTCGAGAGAGTAGTTAATTGTAAAATCGTGCGTGTAGGTACTTACATAGTCCACAGCGTCAACATTTGAACATCGAGAGAGCGTTTCTGGTATAGCCGGAACAAGCACTCCCACTCGACATCGAACTTCTCTTCTTCAGGATAATGGAAAACATGTGGCGAACGGATAATAACCTCAAAACCAAAGTCGTCCGTCTCTGTTGCTTGAGCCATGTAATATTCATGTAACTAGCGCATATATGTTGTCAGATTTTTACACTCATGATCGGGAACCAAAAGATTGCCCCTTTCATACTTCATTGTCGGTGTTGCCGTCCCTTGTACATCATAATAGATGGTCGCAGCGTCTTCCATTGTTAATCCTGGGTTGTCTTCGACGTACTTCTGTATGTTCCTTAAATATTTATTGTGTATTTCTTCGTCTCTTGTTGTAGCGTATTTATTCTGTGTTTGCCTTTCAAATTCGGACTTCAACAAAAACGAAGGCAGTGAGGCATAGAGATTAAAGAAACTAACACAATCTTCCTTCGAGATGTGTGCTGTAAATTTTTCTTTCGTCAAGGTGGTAACACTGCCACTGAACGACCTTTTTCTTTTCTGTTGGTCCACTTTGGGAGCATTAGCGACCGAATCCAAGGACCTTTTCTACGACAGCGAGGATGTCCTTGATCTTGTTTTGGGCTGAGGTGGAGGAGGAGGAGGATGACGACAAGAATTATGTTTTCTCGGCGCTGATGAAGATGGAGGAGGAGGAGGAGGAGTCTCTTTCCTTGGGGCTGATGAAGATGGAGTCGGACGAGGAGGAATAGAAGGAGACCTCTGTCTTCTTGGGGGTGATGGCTCCGGATGATGAGGGGAGTGATCTCTGTTGGGAGATGGTGAGTGATCATCGCAGGTGGGCAAAGACTCGCAATTGTCCTCATCATCAGAGGACAATTGATGGTCAAGCTTAATGAAGCGCTTGCGCTAGGCCACTTGGAGCCCTTGTTTTGACCAAGTGTCGGCCTGTCTTCCGCTACGGGGTACTCAATGAGTATCTTGTTATACTTCTTATCAAGTATTCTGTCAATGGTGACGCAAGCGTACCCCAGTGGAATTGGGCGGCCATTAATTGTCCTATCTCCCACAGGCCAGGCCTGGCCGAGCGCCACCTTGTCCTTTGTCCATTCCTGATAGACGTACAACCTGACATTGATGGGTTCAGTGATGTCATCCACCGGATGAGGCACATTTGCCCTCTTCTTCGTCGAGCGGGGTCGATCCACAGCTGCTGCGACCCCTAAACTGTGGGCTAAAGGCACTAGGAGTAGGGTTTTGTGGTACTACTGACCCCTTGGACAGCAAAATTTGCTCGACTCACGCTTCAATGGTCGCCTCAATCCATGCTTCCATTCTATCTTCCATCTCTTTTAGTCTCCTCAAATACTCTGCCTCATGTTCTGCTCTAGCCCTGGAGCGGCTCCGGTAAGTGTTAGATTCTTGGGGAATGCTAGTTTCCAAGGAAAAACACCGTTTCCTCTAGTGCGACTAGGGTGCTCCTTGGTTCCGAGTGCTTGGGTGAGCACGTCTTTCTACCTATTAGAAGTGCGAGTCCCTTGCCTCACCTCCTCAGTTACCTGGGAAATCCTCTGGATGAGTTCGCTCACGGGTTGATTTGAGGAGCAAAAGCTCCCGTCCTCGACGTGCCGTACATTTCTCCCCATACAGTATAATACCGATCTGGGCTCCCAATCGGCGGTCTCAACCTGAACGCCTTCCTCAGCAAGGCGATCCATCTTTTGAAGTTCTGCTTCAAATTCTGGCATCTTTTTGGCGTAGCCACGAGAGCCGAGATGATGAGGATTCGTCCTTTCTATGAATTCTCCTTATTCCTCCTGCTTAGTTCTAAGTACTCCTCGGATAACCTGTATTCCTTGAAATCCTATCAGAAGTCCTTCTGCTTACGAAACTGTCCACCATCGAAATCTGGCTCTTTATTTTGGAGGACAAAATTCTTGTACAATGTCCCCTTGAAATTCTTGAAGCATATCCCCATGATTTCTTTTGCTTTTTTCTTGACTAACTCCCTGTCATACTAGGCTGGGAAAGTGAAATACTTTGGGATCTTGACATCCCATATGTAATCCTTCTCGCTTTCGGGAACCCTCCACCAGTCATCATCTTTCCCAATCCACTTCCTATACTTAATCAGGATGAAGTCCCTAACAAGTAACCCGAGGATAGTCTTGTATTTGGTCAAAGCTATAGGCGGTGACAGTGGATCCCCGAATCCATCGAACTCAGTAATGTGCCAGTGTGCATTCCTACCAATAGGAATCTTTGACACGCCTCGCTTGGATTTGGCCTTCCTGCTACCCGAACCCTCTGGCTCCTCGACCGGGGGAGGCTCCTGCTAGAGACACCAAGTAAGCTATGACCCTCTCAATTGATTAGCGTGTGTGGCTACATAGTGACATGATACCAAAGTTACCTGACCATCTTGGTCATTTTGACCCAGATCGAGTAGGCCGGACGAGGTCCGTGGCTGCTCGTTCTCACCAACCTGATTGACATTGTCACCGTTTGTCGGATCATGCGGTTCTTAAGCGACGGGGTAACAGGCGACGATGAGTCATGGCTGTGACACGATCGTGGTTAGTATGTATTGAATTGACAGCTATGAATTATGACCTTCTATGTTATTGGCATGTACTGGTTTGTTCCAAAAGACCAAAATAAAACCAATCAGTGTTTCCTTGTACTTCTAGTTTGACTCTTTCTTTAATGGCCAGGTGTAACTGTTACAAGCAGAGAGGCTGTGACCAGGTCTGAAGGTATATTTTCCCCCCTCCCTTCCACTTCTCTTTTTGGGTGTCAAATCACCTACTGATGTTATTTTTTTAGTCATCCAAATTTCTGATTTCTCTCTTAAACTTGCTCTTCAACGTGTCATTAGACTTGCAGCCTGAAATATTTTTTTTTGTTCTCTCTGATTCGTGGCTATTGTAGTTTGGCTATTTTTTTTGTTCTCTTAGACTTGCAGCCTGAAATAACAAGGTTGCACTTGCTATTGTAGTTTGCAATTAAGACGCTCAACTAGTTTTAACAATATATCTTATTCGTGGCTATGTTATTGTTATCTTAGCATTCTTTCTCAAGCATTATTCAGCCTGTTCGCTTGCTCGTAAACGATCGTAAATTTCCAGCCGGGAACAATGTTTTTCTCTCACACCAAACCAGCCAGCAGTAAATAATCCACGATACGATACGGCCTCCCGAACAGGCTGATTATCAGTAATACTATTTCAACTGAGTAGTATGGTTTTTGTGTTATCCTTGAGTTTTTGTTGTGGGAAGCGAGAACCAAGTAGTCAATTATGCTGGTATTCATGCCTTCATGGACATGTGGTTTAGTTTTGATTTATTCCATATGTTCATATTGCCTGTGGTTGGCTCCTTTTGTCGAGCAGTATCATTCGATCTCTTTTTTACTTAACTAGGTTTAGTTGTTGTCTTGATCTGATACTATTCTCAAGTTGTAAAGCCAACTCTATGCAAATACATCTTGAGGCCATTTTAGTGCTTGAACAAAAAAGGTTACATATTAGGTTTGGGAGAACAGAGCATTGTATACTCTGCATCTAAAAATACTAATTCGATGTGCAGGAGCATGCCTCTCATTTACCTTCCCTTTTTTTTCTGTAACAGCTCCTGAGCTCTGAAGATACATGGATGTACGCACCTCTTGCCTATAACCACATGAGCATGGACCTCAGTCCAAATGTTGCTGTGAAGCAATCATGACCGTCCGAAAAGAGTTGTCTGAACTGATCAGATGGGAGCTAGAACACAGTGCATGGTCCATCTTTTCATAAATCTGTAATTAGCCCTGACTTTACATTCTTCAGTTGCTTCTTGCAAGTATGAGCAAGAAGTTCTTTTGAAATAAAAATTGGACCATGGGTTCCCTTGTCATATGAGATATCGATAGTTCACGGAAATGGGAATTTTTCTAGGGTGCATTAATGAATGTGTTGAACATTTGGATCTTTATATGTATGCTATCTATTATGTTGTGATGAAATTACAGTATGGACAGTCCATATTTAATATGTTGTTGCTACTGTTCTATTTCTATATAATTATTGTATCCAATTTGCTGCATGGTTAAGGGTTTATCTGTCGGTGGTCTGTTATTTTTCTGTGTGTTAACTGAGACCGACACAACATTTAAATTTAATCTGGGCTAACGCAATTTTTCTGTGCATGTAACACGCACAAAAAAATCATTTTCCTGTCGGGCTTTTTTTTCTGTGGGGATCAACGCACACAACATTTAAATTTAATCTGGGCTAATGCAATTTTTTTGTGCGTGTAACACCCACAGAAAAATTGTTTCTGATGGCGAACACACAGAACAATTGAATTTTTCTGTCATTATATTTCTATGGGTATTTTTCTGAGGGTACACCGTCAGAAAAATATTTTTGTGACGGTATTCACCACACACAGAAAAATGCGAGATTCCAGTAGTGATCCACAAATATACCAAATTTGTGAGGAAGTTCTTGGTGAGGAAGTCAACGAAGTCCTCGTTGTCCATGTTGGTGCGCATGATGTAGGCGCCCAGCAGGAAGCTGTTGGGCACCTAGCGCACGCGCACCTCCACGCCGTCGGCGTCCTCGACGGTGGCCCCGTCGGCGCCCGTCACCTTGAGCACCACGTCCCGCTTGCGCACCTTGTCGGTGAGCCGCTTTAGGTGCTTGACGCGGGCCTTCCGGTCCACGGGGAACACCTGGAGCCCCACGACCATGAGGTCGACGCCGGCGTCGGTGCCCTGGACATACACCATGACGCGCGACGCCGGCTTCGCCTCCATGCGGGACGCGCCACCGACCTCATACCAGCTAGCGCTCGTCGCACGCCAGGACCTGGTCGCTGTTGATCCACTAGCTGTCGATGGCGAAGGCGATGTTGATGGTCTACGGCGCGCCGGCGCCGCTGCCCTGCAGGGCGCCGACGCGGACCCAGGCGGAGACCTGGTACGTGGCGTAGAGCGTGAGCTTGTCGGTGATGATCTGCGCGGGGCCCATCCATGTCTGTGTGCGGTTGGTGACGTGGATGTGCTTGCCGTTGAGTGGCTCGTCGTCCAGTGCCAGGGACTCCTGCGCCATGGGCGGGAGCACCCGAGGTCTGCCGTCGTGGATGGACAGCGTGCAGGGGCCTAGTAGGAACCACCCGTTGAGGCCGTCGTCCAGGTTGCAGTTCTGGATGATGTTGCAGCCGTACTCAAGATTCTGCATCACAGCAGCAACCAAAGTAGATTGCGTTGCGTCATCCAACTGTACTGGTGCTGGCCTAGCCCCGTTCCTGGCTCGTGCCGTCGTGCTCATGCACGCCTCGCTCGGATGGAGCCCGCACACGCCGCCACGGTGCCGGTGAGCCACTGAGCCTTGCGGCGTGGGCTCACGTGGGCGGGCGGGCACAGCACAGGGCAGCCACAGCCAACCACTGCCCCACTGCGACAGACACTGGCCCTGGCTGGTCTCCACCGACGCAAAGACCGGAGGCCGAAGCCGACATGCTTGCATGCATGCGTTGGATTTAAGGTTAAATAAATGGCATGGACCTGCAGTGAACCATTTTAAAAGTTCATGAACCAAAAAATACAGTTACAGAGTTGATGGACCAAGATGACACCCCAACGAAAGTTAATGGATCCAAAAATACAGTTTCAAAGTTGATGGACCTAGATAACACCCCAACGAAAGTTAATGGACATCAGGAGCATTTTACTCTAAAAGAAATCATGAAACTTGAACTTGAATATAAAAACCAAATTGCACATCCGGATCCACCGAAACAGGAATTGAATTTAAAAGAACAATTGGAACTTGAATCATATAGCACATGAAACAATTGAATCAATTGAAAACTCAAACAAGAGGCATAAGCCCATACAAAGGTTCGTCATGCGCTTGCCTTAAGTTTGGCGACAATCTGGCATGCGTGCCACCCTCGGCAACGGCGCTTCCCAGACCCGAGGAGCAAACTACCATAGGAACTAATCCACATCGATCACGAAGCTATTTTATAAAAAGCTCAATTAAACCTCTTAGTCGAACCCTAATATGTCAATTCTCATATTTTTAGAAGATCCAGTAAAATTTAAGTTCCTTGCTGTTTAGACCATAACTCTCAATTCTATTATCCAAATGCAGCAAATAAATACATCTCGGATATCTACAGAAAATTTCCTATAATTTGGTTTAGAAATCCAGGACCAATTCTGACTCTAAATACCTCTAAAATAGATAAAAGATTTATGCACAGAGAATATGTCTAGCTAGAAAGCAGCACTATTTTGGGCATAACTTATCGGATTTGAATGAAATCAGCACCGTTGGGAGGATAAAAATGAGAGCTGTGACTTTTGTTTAACTGACCTGTTGAGATAATTTACAGATTATTCCCAGAAATTCGCCGATTCAATCTGCCTAATTAGAGCGTACTCCAAATTGATCAACCAGTTACAAATTGACTTGTACACGTACGTAACTGCTGCCTCTACGTCCTTTTTAAGACAGCTGCCACAACAGAAACCTTAATTTCGCAAAGAACTAAATAGATCACCATAAGTCTAACCTTTTCTTTCCTCCTCTTTCTTGCCACAATTGTCTTTCTGCTATTTCCCTTTGCCTTCACGACAGTGGCCTCCCAGGATCTATGCGCCAGCAGTAGCTAGCCTTGCTACTTCCCAGCAGCTTCACGTAGGAGCACCAAGATTAGATGAAAGCAACTCACGGGAAAACAATAACTAGAGTAGTAACTGAGGTACAGAAGCAAGGATGCATGCAAGATGCGTGCTATTTCCAGCGAGGGAAGACGACCTGTCAAGGGGACCTCCTCAAAAGTTGGCAGCTTGAACGAGATAGAGAGACAGGAGCGGTGCAAACAAAGGAAGAGCTCAGGCGAGAGGCGGCGGCGGGAACAGGAGGATGCGGCTCTGAACAAAGCAGCGTGAGGAAGAGCCGGTGGCATAATGAGGCCCTTTTTTTCTTCTTATTAACCGGTCAGGAAACCAAACCCTAAATCAGATCCAATGGTGTAAATTTAGCGGTTCCTCCTAAATTCATCCAACCTCCAAACGAAACATGTTAGTACACAAATGAATTCGTTTCGACGAGATCTGCACAACCACGGTGTCCGATTGCCCAAATGACTCCGGGTTCAAATAGTCAAAATTTGCTCGTCTCATTAGTCCGTTCGTTCAACTTATTAATTTTGTTTTAAAAAAAATCGGGATATTACACAAAGCCTTTATCAACGGACTTTGTTGGAGGATCGTACTCATCATGGTTGAAGTATATACAGTAGTTATGTGAGAAGCTATCAATCAGCGAATGAACAAATGCAGCTAGACCGTGACTAATTGAAGTCCCAGTATGCATAAAATGCATGCACACGCATAGAATATACAAAACTGGAATGCTTATTACTATCTTGGCCACTGCCACACACTCCCTTTGTTCTGGATTACAATTCACTTTATTTTTGTGTAAAAGCAAGCTTGTCTAACTTTGAAAAAGTTTTAAATAAATTTTCACTTTATTTTTGTGTAAAAGCAAGCTTGTCTACCTCTTGATTCAAATAGAAGTACATCTATTTTTCACTAAACTCATGCTTAAATTATTTCCATACAGTAAGGAGAATGATAAGTTTGATGCCACTTTTGTTCCTTCCACCATCTATGATATGAATCTGCCCTTCAATATACAGATGAAGAGGATCATGGCCAACCTCCTAGCTGTTCGAAACAAAAGTCGTTTGGGCTCAAAGGCAAAGATCCATTCAAGAAAAAAACAACATGATCATTAACATAAACCTTGCTCAGCTGTGCTGCACAAACTCAAGATAAAGAAGACTAAGATGTGGCTTGCGTTGATTCTTTAGGCGAAAAACTACAACATCCAGACTTGAAGTTCCATGACAACACACTCCATCATATTCGTTTTCACTAGAATAGTGAGCACATAGGTACACATATATTAATTCCGTGGATTCGAATCAAAGATATTTCGGATTTCCCTACACACGACCTGAATCTTGTCCGAAAGAATCTCGGGAACATTCGGATAATAACCTTAATCTCTAGGACTGGACATTAATTTTAGCCTAAGGAAATCCAATATGGCTAAAAACATTTAAAAATAATAACTTCTGTTGACACAAAATCAGAGCGAGACCAACAAAATCTTCATGGCTTCATTTACTATTCCTTGTTCATTTACAAAGGAATGTATTTCATGATTCTATAATAATTTGCTTTATGGGTGCTCAAATAGATATGATAATATATCTGTTCTAGTTTTATATAACATGTGAGTTAAGGTTACATTGGTTCTAGTGCTATGAGCTACCCCTAGTAAACCGTCGTGTCAGTAATAAACTTCTGGATTTGTTTAGTTTTAAGATTTTAGAACATGAACTTTTTCACATTCTACACATAGATGAAAACTACAATCCATTGGACTAGGCTATGTGTCAGAATGGCACTCCAGGTGGGTTCTCTCTCTACAGAACAGTAGGATGGCGGTGGACGTTTAGTACTTTAATCTGGGGACATTACTTTTGGGTTTTGATAGCCCCACTCTAAATCATATTATAGTCGGTGCGGTGCCCATCAACAAAGATCCCATCTTTGGTAATGCTACCTAGCAGAAAAGTGAGCTACCGTGTTGAGCAGCCAATTTGACGCAAGTTTGGTGTCCCTCTTTAAAATTTGCTCTAACATATTCGTGGGTAATTAAAGTTCACGTTCATCATATATTTTTTTGGCGACGAGTTTTATACTTTGTTGTTATGTACTTCAAAATTGTTACTGATAGGGTCCAGTTGATTTAATGCCCTTGGCCTTGTCAAGTTCATGGGCTCCAATTATTTCCTTATTTTTCTACAATATTATGGTGTCTTGCACAATTTTGCTCCAAGATAAAAACACGCACCAAATATTTACTAGAAAAAATAATTAAGAGGTGTGACTTTGCATACTAACTTTGCATGCACATATACGTTTACTCATGAACTTCTATTATGTTTTCCTTTGTATACGTGCACGTGACTTGAAAGACAATGGTCAAAGCATATGTGCCCATGGCTTTCTTAAAACAACATACCATAGATGCAAGTACTCAACTACACGCACTTACAGTCGCATCTATTTCATAAACACCCACGCACACAGCCAAATGAGAACATTCAAGAGGTCAGGCTGGCACATCTTGATATTGATGATGTAATGTGGTATTCTGTACGTATTAATCAAGCACGTGGCTGTAGTTATGATTTGATATATTTCAATTGATTATACAGAGAAAAAAATTAAGGAATAGACTCAGATAAATCTCAATCAATGTATTGATTATTTCTGGGAAGTTGCACACGCCGACACAAGAACATTGTTATCAAGTACAACTCAATTGTATTCTAGAAGATGGCACCTCCAACGTTGGGTTGCTGCCACGACAAGGCAGGTTTAATCAAAGACATCTGGTTGAATGGCAGCAATTGTTGCTGCTGCAGGAAGGCGGCAGCCAACGGGTTAGCCAGTGCCAATGGGTTAACTAGGAGCAGCTGCTGTTGCTGGTGGTAGGCAGCGGCGGTTGCAACGGCCGACTGGGTAATCGGAAGCGGCTGCTGCTGTTGGTGGTATGCAGCGGCGTTCGCCACAGCTAGTTGGTTGAATGGAAGCAGCTGTTGCTGTTGCAAGTAGGCGGCAGGGTTCGCCACGGCTAGTTGCCTTAGCGCTGGCAGGAACTGTTGTAACTGTTGTTGTTGCAGGTATTCAATGGCATTCGCCGCATCCAGTGGGTTTGTAGGAAGCAGCTGTTGCAGCTGCAAGTAGGCGGCAGGGTTTGCCACAGCTAGTTGACTAAGCGTTGGCAGGAACTGCTGCTGTTGCAGTTGCGCTACGATGGTCTGTACTAGTAGGTGAGCCGAGGATTGCTGTTGCAATTGGGCAATTGGTTGTTGTAAGATGCTTGCCGCGAGTACCTGTTGTAGCCTATAGGCCCGCAGAACTGGGTGTTCATAGTCCGCAGCAGTAACTGGTGAGCACTGCGGAATGATGAACGCAGTTGTAGCGCTGATCGAAAGAGCAAGGAGTGCAAGGAAGGCAAATATCTTGGCAGCCATTGTTGCTAAGATGTTGCTAGTGCGTTTCACTTGGCAAGTTTTTGACTGCTATCAATGATATGGGTGGTGGATTAGCTATTGATTTGGGCCCTATTTATACAAGTCCGAG